CTGAACTCTGAATCCTAAACCCTAAACCCTGAACTCTGAATCACTCTGAATCGTTGAGACTCTCTACTCTTCGACTCCGGAAAGTCCCTAACCCGGAAATCCCAAACCGCATGATACAGGGGCCGTAATGATTAGAATAAGATTTGGAGGTGTACTAGGCTATAATCATGATGAGGAGCCCCAAACTAGCATTGGTAATTATTTGTTGATTTCAAACCAGACAGCTTGCGTCGAACCTGGAAACCTAAGCCCCTAAACCCTAGCCTCCAAACACCACATCGCAACTCCCCTTAACCCTACATCAATAAACCCTAAGCTGGTGAATCCATAAGCCTGAACCCGCACACCCTGAGCTCCTGAAACCAGAAGCAAAAAAAAAAACATATCTCCCCAAACAGCTCCCCATACAAATTCCCAGCCTGCTGTAATGTAGACCCGTGATTAGCAAACCCCGTCCTTTTTATAAGGGTGCCCTACTGTATTGGGGACCCAAAAGGGGAATCGCGTTTGCCAGATTTGCTAGCCAACCTTAGGCCCTAAACATTCTCACTCGCATGGGGGCTTAATGCTGCCTGACCTCAAGATGCGTTTTGCAAGATATCATCATGCAATAAACATGTAATATAGTATGGTATAGTACAGCATAGTACAGTATGATATGATATACTCTCATCTAACCTAATATATTTCGAACCTAATATAATATCATATGAAACGGCTTCATCAGGTTTAGTAGAATATGATATCATAGAATGCTCTTTCTATTTCGCACCATAATGCAATCTGGTAAAATGCCATAAAATAAATACAGCAAGCCATGAACCCTAAACTTGAAACCCAGTCATGTGGAAGTTGCTTCCAGATACGGGTGTCTTATCAGGATATCCAGACTATCGGTGCCTACCACGGGACGAAGCACACTTCGATTGGACCTGCTCTAAGTTCAAAGCTTAGTATTTCAGAGCTGGGGGAACCTGCCATGCCAGAGCCAGTGGCAGGAGCCTGGCTCTTGCTGGACAAAGTCTGCCTTACTTGAGCATGTTCACCACATCCCTCAGATGTTGGATGTCCGCCTTGGAGATGGTCAGACCCCCGCCAACTCCTTTAACACTTCCTTTTCTGGCGGTAGGAAGCTGAGAGACGATCTGAGACAGGTTTTTAGCCTTGCCTCGCAGCTGCTTGAGTCGCTCCTGCATCTCCTTCGTCAGCTCGAGGAGGACATCTGGCGGCAAAGCATCCAAGTCCTCCGGGACCCGACAAGGCTTTATACTACATCCTACGGCTCCGATGACCCCAACCATATTAAATTATCGTCAAGCAATGTCATTGCTAGTGCACTTTGGCTGGTTTTTGTCCTGAGGTTGGCTGATGAGGGACAATGATGCGATGCAGCGCCTATACTGCTTGAGAAGGTCATGCTTGTGGGCCTGCAGAAGTCGCTCCACCGTTACCGGCATGCGCAACAGCTGCTCCTCACAGGCATCTTTGACAAAGTCCACCTGGTAGTAGTCACTGATACAGAGCAGGGCATGGACGTTATCGGGCGTCACCTGCGTTTCGCAGCGGGCGCCAGGCAGTATCAATCCGTAAAAGATCTCGAATTCCTCTTGAGTGGCTACTTCCACTTCAATGACCTGCTCAGTTGCCTCCTTCATGCCAGAGCTGAACATACCATCGAAGACCGGGGAAGCCCAGCGAAGCAACGCGGAGCATGCTGGCTTGGTTCCTTCGCGGAATTTCAAGACGATGTCGTTCAGGTGCTCCATCCTCCGCTGCTTCTTGGGCTCAGGCTCCTCACCAGCTTCTTCAGTCTTCCTGCGAAAAATCTTCTTCCTGCAACGCGTCTCGGGTACAGGCTCTTCACCACTGCTCTCAGATCCAAAAAGGTCGAACGGGCTTAGTTCGTCCTCAGAAGGTGGGTCCATTGTCGAGGCAGGCGGATGCCGCTCAGAACTGTGAAACCCTGCAGAACAGCATAACCCCTGGCTGTGCTATCAAAACAGATGCGTAGACTGTGACGGCCCGTGAAACCTGGACACCTACACTCGATGTACCCTAAATCCTAAGCCCCTAAACCCCCCAAAACCCTAAACCCCTAAACTCTAAAGCCTTAAAGCCTTACAACCCGAACCCTTGAGACGAGCTGTCCGTGAGCCGAGACGAGGTTTCAGCAACAAAACATCTGCGGTCAAACCAAGCCCCTAAACCCTCTAAAGCCCCTAAAGCCCCTAAACCCTGAAGCCCCTAAAGCCCCTAAAGCCCCTGAACCCTAAACCGCATGCTAGAACCGAGACGCCGGGCTGCCAAAGCCGGTGCACCCGGCCGTGTTGCTATGTTACAAACCCGAAGCCCTAAACCCCAAAAAATCCTAAACCCTAAACCCTAAACCCCAAAACCCAAAATTCTAAAACCTACAAAAATAAAGCCGAAAATTCAGGTACTCGGAGACCAAAGCGTGTAGAACGGCTTTGGGGTCTGCCGTTTCGGGTTTTAAGGGTTTCGGACAGTTTGCACATGGAGTCGACTGCGCAAAGGATCAAAGATCCAGCGCCCTGAGCCAGCAGCTCTGAAACTTTGAACATTGAGCCCTGTAGCTGAACCCAATACCTTTACGATGCCGGGTCGTACACCTACAAGAACTAGGTTGGCCCTGCTAATCCTCTCAAAACTATTCGCTTATGTATCTATAGGGCCAGTTAGGGAAAGTACCAAATGTCCAAAACGCCTTTAGGATTTGGGAGGGTTTAAGGGTTTAGGGGTTTAGGGGGTTTGAGGAAGGTATTTGAAAGGCCTGGAGATGTCAGAGGTGCGGCTGTGAGGGTCAGAGGGACTCGGATTCAGGAGCGATTGGAAGGGCTATCAGGACTTTACTAGAGTTTTAGGGTTTAGGGCTAATTGGAACGGGGTTTTCGCACCATTACAGCACACCACGAGGGATGTTTTAGCTAGACTTGCGAGGTATTCACATTTTTCTGTCAACAGATTGGGGCTGGCATCGTTCATTTCCTGATTCCCTGCACGGGATCGAAGGGCGCTTAAAACCAACAACTCTGAAATTAGAAGCTTATGCCACGGAGCCCAACATCCTAAACCCCCCCATACTCCCTAAACCCGAAGCGGCAAAAATCCGAAGCTCTAAACGCCAAACTCAAAGCCTGAAGCCTAACCCAAACCCTAAACCCTAAACCCTAACCCAGCACTTGAGCATCCGACAGCTCCCGGGGATGACAAAAGACCTTCCACAGCCTTCCGCAGCAGACGTTGGAGCGGGCTTCAAACCCTAAACCCTAAGCCCTAACCTACTTGTCGGTTTAGTTTTTAGGGTTTAGGGTTTAGGGACCGGAGTCCAGTATATTTGGTGAACTAAAGGTTCACCTTCGGGAGAATGCAGGAAATATAAAGGGAGTATAGTACTTAGTTACCCACTCTACCCACTCCACTACTAGGCTAAGGGGTTTGGGGGTTTCGGGCTTTATGAGATCCTTTGAAGGGCTTACTTTAAAAGATTCTTTAAAGGATCCTGTAAAGGGGTCTAAAAGGGTTGCCATAAGGTTGTAGGGCTTCGGGCTTGGGGTGCAAGCTTTAGGGTTTCCAGGTTTGGGCCTTAGAGCTTTGAAGCCTTAAGGCTTTCGGGCTGCAGTTGGTTTAGGGTTTAAGGGTTTAGGGTTTAGAGTTGCACAGAGCCGTGTCTGAAAACTTAAAGCACTTGGTGCAGGGACTACTCTAAACCCCCGGCTCCATTGATACGGTTGATGATATAAATCCTGCATTACCCATAACAAGGAATATACCATAATTCCCATATCTTAGGATCCTTAAGGTCATGCTAAGGATTTATATCATCAACAGTAGGGATTACCTAAACCCTAAACCCCTACACCCTATAGTAGGGGTCCCGTTCAAGTGAGGCCTTTCAGGGGGGCTTGGTCGATTCAGCTCCTAGCAACAGAAGAGACCAAATCTGAAAATCTGGCACCTTGAAACCTTGAACGGTCTAGGGTTGCAGGGTGTAGGGCCTTAGGGTTTAGGGGTTTAGGGTTTAGGGCTTTATGGGTTTGGGGGTTTAGGGCTTAGAGCTTTAGGGGCTTGGGATCTAGGGTTTCAGGGTCAGCCTTGCCACGAATACCACTCCGACGGCGGTGGCGAAGCTTTCGGGAGATTCCAATTTGGATTTCTGAGTTTACTTGGAAGCTCTTTCGACTTAGCAGGTATGTCGGGTTTGGTAGGGTTACTCAGATTGGGGATAAAAGGGATAGTAAGCAGACCTGCTAAGTTAGAAAAGCCTCCTTCTCTACTATGGTATCCTTTTCGGATCCGTGTTGCAATGGGGCTTAGGATATTGAGATGCTCCTAGGCAAGACCACTGCAAGCTACTTGTGAAGATTACGTCTCAGGGTTTAGGGTTCAGGATTTCCGGTTTTCAGTATGCAGGTAGGCCTCTTGACCGTCTTCTGGCATGTCTACTAACTTGGGCACCATGTCAAACACATCGGCTCTAGAGCTTGTCTCCCTGAACCCTGAACCCTACACAACATGAAGCAGAACGCCGTGGTTTAGGGTTTAGGGTCCCTTTCTCGAGCTTAGCCTCTTTTCATCCCCAAAGAGCCCAAGACTTCCAAAACGACGAACTACAGTTCTGCCCACCTCTCCGGCGGACCCAGCCAACCTCCGGGTGTCGGAATAGAAAGGAGTTTAGGGTTTTTTTGGGTTTGGGGTTTGGGCGTGGGAATAGTAAAGAGTTCACGTTGAAGCTTACCACTTCCGGGCCTTAAGACCTATGGGGTTCATCTGGGTGAACCTTCTCCACGACAGGTCTGGGCGCTGTCCGGTTGTTTTTTTGGACTTACACCACTCGGCATTGGGGTTTACCCCAGCGATTTAGGCTTTGGCTTTGGGATTTAAGTTGTCTTTGATTCATGTCCTAACCGTTCCTTTAAGGAACAAGTCCAACAGCAAGTGTCCAAGTATGGTTTAGGGTCTAGGAGCACTTTGAAAACCCTAAACCCCTAAACCCCAAACCCGAAACCTTACAAAAGCCCTAAACCCCCGAAGCCCTAAACCCCAAACCCTAAACCTTACAGCCCCCTAAACCCCCAAAGCGCGAAGCCCAAGGCTCGGACCCTGCCATCTCATTCATCTCGTGCACGTGCACTCGCTGCTTTTCTCCACGCAAGGCCACCGCCTGAACCGTCTGAACACCCCTTTGTCTAGACGCCAAAAGACCGAGAATTGAGGTCTTGGGGCATATCATACTACAGTCATACTCAGGAACCCTACTAGAAAAAGAAGTACGTATTATCATTTTTGGTATTCTTGTTGTTATTGTTAATAGTATCATTATGACTATTACTACGATTATAGCTACTACTATTAGCATTTTCGTTGTCACTTGTTACTTGATCTGAGCTTCTGCATTGAATCCTGAGCTCAGGGACTACTTCTTCTTGGGCCTCGGGGGTCCTTGGGTAGGAACATGGGGCCTAGGGGTTCAGGGGTTTAAAGTCTAGGGGGCAGACTTATCTGGGGACGGTAGCATAGAGGCCTTCATAAGCAGAGTAGTATACTTATCTGCGGTGGATGCTACCACTAACAAGTCCGAGCCCTACCGTATATCATCGGGGAGAAGCGTTTTAGTTTCAATATTTTCGGAATCTACGGTGGGGGAAGTCTACGGTGGGGGAAGAAGGCGGTGGGGGTGCTCCGCCCAAACCTCGCCAGGGCACTGCGTCCAAAGCTTTGTCCGAGTGCCCTGCAAGCTTTGCACGACCCGAAGTACCCTGCAGTCGAACTCCAAACCCCAAACTTGGAATCTTAGAATCTCCTAACCCCTAAACCCTAGGCCCAAAACCCCCTAAACCCTAAACCCCCAAACCCTATACTCGCAACCCCATAAACCCTCAACCTCACTGGCCCCAACACCAAGCCCCCCACCCTCAAATTCTCTCATAGAGGGGCTTGCATACTTAGGACAGGGGTGTTGGAGTATCTTTTACTTAAGATTATGGGTGTGTAGGATTTTATGGTCTATGAATTAAGATTTGCTGTTCAGGCTTGTAGGGTCAAGGCTCGTCCCACGCCAGAACGCGTACAGTCAACAACTGTGTCGGAACACGCGGCTGACATCTTTGCCGCCCATGCCTGCTACAACGTCGAGAACCAGACCACCTGAATTCCAATCCCTTAAACCCCAAACCTCAAAGCCTCACCAACACAATCCTACACCCTAAACGCTAAACCCCCCAAACCTTACACGCTGAACCCTAACCTCCTTGACTAATGCTCCGGCCCCAGGCGCCATGATACTCAGGCCGATGGTGAGGAAAAGAGAACCCAGCCAAAGGTCGAACATGGACCTGGCATCAGTGGATTGCACAAGGCGGCCAGGGTTTAGGGTTTCTCATGAACCAAACATGCGTTCCTGGGGGGGGGGTCTATTGAGGAATCCATTGCTCGGCGGGTTTAGGGACGATAGCCTGGATCCCCATACAAAGCTCACTAAGAGTTTGTCGCACTTTGTATGATAGGGACCTTGACAACGAGACCTTGTCAAAAGGCTTGCAACACACATGAACCTCCCCCCCTTTAAAGCACCCCATATAGAATCCTAAACGCTAGGATCCTTAGCAAGAGAAGCCCGCAAATTACCGAGCCGGGTGGCTGATCTGAGTTGGCCATCGTCTCGCAGTAGCTGCTGACGCTGAAACCCTGCAGTGCTTCCCTGCAGATGGAGGTCTTGCGTTCCCTAAACCCTACAACCCTAAAACTCTAAAATCCTAAAACCCTAAAATCTCAAAACCCTAAAACCCCAAACTCCTAAAACCCTAAATCGTAAAAGCCCCGAAGCCCTACACCCCTTTCTTGAAGAGGGTTCAGAGCGTCGGCTTTCAGGTCAGGTTCAAGTTGTAAGGTTTAGGGTGTAAGGTTC